CTTTTCTAATGTAAGTATTTTAATTTTTCCTCTAAGAACTGGTTTAGCTGTACACCACAAATTCTGATATGTTGTTTCATTTTCATTTTGTTCAAAATATTTTCTAACTTCCCTTGAGACTTCCCCTTTGACCTATAAATTATGTGTGTTGTCTAGTTTCCTAATATATGGGATTATCCCAGATGTTTTTGTTATTAATTTCTAATTTCATTCTAATCAGAAAACATACTTTGTATGATTTCAATCCTTTAAATTTACATGGTCTGCCTTGATAAATGTTCTATGTGCACTTGAAAGGAACAGATATTTTTCCAAAAAAGGCATACAGAAGGCTAACAAACATATGAGAAGACACTCAGCATCAAAAATCATCAGGAAAATGCAAATCACAACCACAATGAGATATCACTATACACCTGTCATTATGGCTAAAATAAAAAAACATAAGAAATAGCAAGTGTTGGCAAGGATGGGGAGAAAAAGGAACTCTTGTGCAATGTTTGTGAGAATGCAAATTCGTGCAACCACTGTGGAAAACAGTATGGCAGCCCCTCAAAAAATAAAAATAGGAATACCATATGATGCAGTAATTCCACTACTGGGCATTTATCCAAAGAAAATGAAAACACTAATTCAAAAAGATATATGCACCCCTGAGTTTACTGCAGCATTATTTACAATAGCCAAGATATGGAAGCAACAAAGGCATCCATCAATAGATGAATGGATAAAGAAGATGTAGCGTATATACATAAAATGGAATATTATTCAGCCGTAAAAAGAATGAAATCTCACCATTTGCAACAAGACGGATGGACCCAGAGGGTTTAATGCTTAGTAAACTGTTGTCAGAGAAAGATATATCCCATATGATTTCATTCATATGTAGAATTTAAGAAATAAAACAAGTGAACAAAGAAAAAAAAACCCAGACTCTTAACAATAGAAAACAATCTGGTGGTTACCAAAGGGGTGATGGCTGGGGGGATGAATAAAATAGGTAAAGGGGATTAAGAGTATGCTTATCTTGATGAGCACTGAGAAATGTATAGAATTGTTGAATCATACATATATTGTACACCTGAGACTAATATAACACTGTATGTTAATTATACTTAAATAAAATAAAATAAGAAAAGAATGTGCATTCTGCTGTTGTTGGATAGAATATTCTATAAATTTCTTTTTTTTTCCTTTTTTTTCTTTAATTTTTTATTGTTATGTTAATCACCATACATTACATCATTAGTTTTTGATGTAGTGTTCCATGATTCGTTGTTTGTGTATAACACCCAGTGCTCCATGCGGAATGTGCCCTCTTTAATACCCATCACCAGGCTAACCCAGCCCCCCACCCCCCTCCCCTATGAATTTCTTTTAAGTCAAGTTCATTAGTAATGTTCATATCTTTTATATCATTACTGTTTATTATATCAATTACTACTTATTATATCAATTACTCAAAGAGAATGACTGATGTTTGCAACTATAATTTTGGATTTGTTAATTTCTCCTTTCAATACTTTCCATTTTTGCTTCATGTATTTTGAGGCTATTTTGTGAGACCATGAACATTTAGATTGTTATGTCTTTCTGATGAGTAGACTGCTTTGTCATTATGAAATGTTCCTCTTTATCTCTATTGATATTCTTTTTTCTGAAGTCTACTTTATCTAATATTAACATATCTATCCACTCGAGCTCTCTTATGGTTAATGTTCGCAGGTGTAAAGGTTTTATTCTCACACTTTTAATCTATTTGTCTTTACACTTTAGGTGGGTTTCTTATAGCAAGCATCTAGTTCAGTCTTGATTTTTTTATCATGTCTGACAATCAGCTAATTAAATAGGAGTGTTTAAACCATTTACACCTAATGTAATTATCAACATGATTGAGTTTGAAACTATTATCTTGCAGTTTTCCTCTCTATTTTTCCCATTATGTTCTTTGTTCTCTTTTCCCTCTGCTCCTGTCTTCTTTTGATCAATTGCTTAGGTTTTAGTATTCCACTGTTAGAGTAGCTATGTTACTTTTATGTTTTATAGTGATTTTTATGGTCTAAAATATGCATCTTTAACCTAACATGTTCTTCCTTCAAATAATGTTATACCACTTCTCAGATAATCAAAGAACCTTACAATAATACAACAATACACTTCCATTTCATTCTCCCATCCACAGTCCTACTGTTGAAATTATTTAATATCTATCT